AAGTCTATACGTTATTCTAGCAGGCTCTGATCTCGCATGGAAATGCGAAAACAAAAATTTTGTGAAATTTCTCATTTCACAGGACAAATCCTCTTATCGCTTTAATTTTTCCACAGAAACACAGTTTGCAACCAGAAATTAGACATAGTGCCTATTTAGAGCCTTGCGACGTTTTCTTGATTGTAAAAAAGTGTTTTCGCCGGAAAACTGCGGACATGAGGATATTTTTTCCGCAAAATGACATATTTCACGAATTTTTTGTTTTTGCTTCATAGTGCAAGATCAAAGCCTTCCAAAGTTACATATAGACTTTTGTTCTGTAAATAAATTCTGCAGATTTTTTTCGGCTAGCTAGCGGCACTCTGCGATTTTCTGGCACCAAACTCAAAATCGCAAAATTTGAAGCCCCATATTCGAGAGCTTCGTTCTTGATGTCCAGCCCACGGAATCTTATGCTTAAACATCCATCATGAAGCGTAAGGCTTCTGATATTTTTAGCATACAAGCTTGTGATTTTAGGTTTAGTCTTTGAAAAGTTATTGAATTTTGTTTGAATTACGCAAGAACTTTCGTGCCAACCTAATATTTTCATCCAATAAATCTGCGCTCAAAGAAGCTCATTCTTCCGTTGGCAGTTTCTTAGGTCCACACTACCTAACTCCCAAAAATTACTCCAATCAAATGAGACTGGTGCTAGTTATTTAGACAAAACTAGTTATAAGAGAAAGTGGAGAAAATGCCAAGCGAGATACTTTTGCTTTTTCGGAACAGGCAGTGCGTTCGACCTTCGTGGTACATAATAACTTTCTCACGCTTTTCCGCTCCATTCTCTGTGAATAACTAGAAGACTAGTTTTTTTTGGAGAAAATCACCTCTGGTCTTATAAGCCCATAAGCAAAGTCATCTTGAAGTCGGTACTGCATCTTCCTAACTAATAGAGCAAAAAAATCACATTTGGTAAAAATGTCTGGATAAGGGGCCGTGTTACTAATAAGTGTTCAAAAGGTTTTACCATCCTTTTTAGAAAGCGATTATTAAATGCGAATCAAACGCACCGGTTTGAGATGTGTTCTAATTGCGGAATGGTGCATAAGTACGCTAATCAGCTTGGGAAGTTTCCTACGAACCTGACGTCGAAACTCAATAGAAGGACATTAATCTGTTGTTCGAAGAATCACAGCAAAGCACATTTGAACTCATGAAGAGTGGCAAAACTTGCAAAGGCTTGGCTGGAACTTCTCTTCGTCAAATGTAGTTAGGAACAAGCACCTTTTTAATCTAAACGTCCAAAAATTCGAGTCCTCAACGGGATCCTAGCGCCAACGTAACGCAAGTAAGAAGAACAGCTTTTTTAGTATACTTATCTGGAACCCAGAATTGCCACTAAACACAGAGAGTTGTTGATTTTTAGTTATTTCTAATGAATATACAGATTAAACAAGATAGCTTGCCTTTACCGATAAAAGTTTTGAAGCCGATACCAGTGGCCAACAGAGAAGGGAAGGCGGGGACTGGTTTCGCAAAATTTGCAATTTTAAAAATGTGCAGCTGAGTTGAGCTGTTCATACTATTAGGTTGGCTAGAAAGTTCTTGCGTAATTCAAACAAAATTCGATAACTTTTCAATGACTAAACCTAAAGTCACAATCTTGTTCTCTAAAAATATTAGAAGGCCTGCGCTCTATGACAGATGTTTAAGCGCAAGATTTCATGAGCTAGCCCCCGAGAACGAAGCTCTCAAATATGGGACTTCAAAATTTGCAATTTTGAGTTTGGTGCCAGAAAATCGCAGAGTGCCGCTAGCTAGCCGAAAAAATCTGTAAAAATTAGTTACACTGCATAAGTCCATAAGTTACTTTGGATGGCTTTGATCTTGCACGGTGAAGCAAAAACAAAAAATTCGTGAAATAGTCATTTTGCCGAAAAAATCCACTCATTACCGCAGTTTTTCGGCAAAAACAATTTTATACACTCCAAAAAACGTCGCAAGGTTCTAAATAGGCAATATGTCTTATTTCTAATTGCAAACTGTGTTTTTGTGGAAAAATTACATCGATAAGGGGATTTATCCTGTAAAATGACAAATTCCATAAATTTTTTGTTTTCGCATTCCCATGCGAGTTTGAAGCCTGCTAAAATAACGTATGGACTTCTGCAGTGTAGGTAATTTTTACAGATTTTTTTCGGCTACCTAGCGGCACTCTGCGATTTTCTGGCACCAAACTCAAAATTGCAAATTTTGAAGTCCCATATTTGAGAGCTTCGTTCTTGGGGGCTAGCTCATGAAATCTTGCGCTTAAACATCCATCATAGAGCGCAGGCCTTCTAATATTTTTAGGGAACAAGATTGTGAATTTAGGTTTAGTCATTGAAAAGTTATCGAATTTTGTTTGAATTACGCAAAAACTTTCTAGCCAACCTAATATTAGGTTGGTGCAAAAATAATGAGCGTTTTTATTTGCTTGCTTTAACAAAGCAACCAGACTCAACCCAACAAAGAGTAAGGGGTACTGTTCGATAGGGCAAAGCAAGCTCTACAAGATGGCACTCATGCCTTTGCGCCATGCTCGATCCACGGAGAGTTCGAACTCAAAATCTAAAGATTTCCAAATGCCCAAAAAATCGAAAAAAATCAGATCTTCGGCCAAATAATTTCTACGGAACTCCCACTCGCTCACATCAATACTATCGATATCTGATATCCATATGTGCGATTGCCGTATTTTTTCCTTGACTAGAAACTGAAAAAACGAAAATTTCCCTGATTTTCTCAAAGCAATGCTGAGCCGTTTTTGCATATGTAGTTCTATACTACAAGCCTAGGTAAGTATAACTGTAGATTTTCAGCCCATTCCAAGCGGTAGTTTTCGAAAAATAACGAATTCGGATTTTTTTCGTTTCAGTTTTAGTGCTAAAATCGACATTTCTCGAAAAGTACCGCTCGAAATAGGCTGAAAACCTACAGTTATGCTTACCTAGGCTTGTAGTATTGAACTACATATGCAAAAACGGCTCAGCATTGCTTTGAGAAAATCAGGGAAATTTTCGTTTTTTCAGTTTCTAGTCAAGGAAAAAATACGGCAATCGCACATATGGATATCAGATATCGATAGTATTGATGAGAGCGAGTGGGAGGTCCGTAGAAATTATTTGGCCGAAGATCTGATTTTTTTCGATTTTTTGGGAATTTAGAAATCTTTAGATTTTGAGTTCGAACTCTCCGCGGATCGAGCATGGCGCGCATGAGTGCCATCTTGTAGAGCTTGCTTTCCCCTATCGAACAGTACCCCTTACCCTTTGTTGGGTTGTGTCTGGTTGCTTTGTTAAAGCAAGCAAACAAAAACCGACATTATTTTCTTGACAACCTAATAGAAACCATAATGTTCAATGTAGTTCGTCATAACCATGTAACCTTGTAACCTTCAATTCAACTGGCTTGGCGGCTGGAAGGCTGAGCTTTGTGACTAATTGAGGCCGCTCGCACCCGCGCGCGGTCTGCGCGCGGGTGCTCTCTGATCACTACCTAGCCTTAATTAGGTCACGAAGCCCCGCCTTCCAGCCGCCAAGCTTGAATCAAAGGTTAGTATCAATACTTTGAGGTGCTTGTCTAGACACTTAGAGCGAACTTTATAAATTTAAAAAAGTTATTTGAAAATAGCAATGTAAGGAGATAGTTAATAATTATTTATAGAGATTCCCAAATGACTGGCAATACAAGCTCGAGACAAGCTCCCTTGCAAAAATTTTAGGTGTGTAGAAGTTTTGTAAATGTTGTAAAGTTTCGTGTGATTACTGTTCTTTTTGCCGACCTAATAAATGATGATGATAATGATGATCATTCGTAATTATCCGGCCCGAGCACGAATTTTATGTTAATCAGATTGTATGTATGATTAAAGTGAGCATCAGATGCCACCTTTCTCGATAGGTGATTGAGAAAAAAGTTTTTCTTCGAATTCTGAGTGCGCGTTGAACTTGAAATGTGCTTTAGGATGCAGAACAGGTGAATCCAGATCCAATGGGGGATCTTATCCAGCTCGCCTAAGGTAGGGCAAATGGGGCTCACACCGAAAGTGCTCAGAAGGCGATTTTGAATTGTTGAAACTTCAGTCAATGTAGAGTGATGTTATTTTACTCTGATCAGAAAAAAGCCTTTCCGTAGGTTGTGGTGCAAAAGGCGACAATCTCAAATTTTGCGGAATTGTCTCTTCGATGCCAAAGTGATACGGCGTCAAACTATGAGGGGTAAAGGTGGGGGCAGACACATGATTCGATGCCATAAGTGAAACTACCGTAGAGATTAGAGAGAGAAATATATATATTGCTTTCCTTTCGCACTTCTTGGTCTTCCGCATGCCCCCCCCCCCCCCCGCGCGATTCGTTGCTTTTTGCTGTGGGTTTACTACGAGTTTATGCGCCCCAGCACCAAGCGCGGACGCGGCAACGCTCTAATTTCAAATGTCGCTGAAAGCTTGGTCATGGTAATTTGAGTCGAGTTGAAGTCTCATTGTTCATTTTTGATAGGTTCACTATTCCTAAGCCTTTTAAAGGCTTCAGTACTCAGTTATGATCATTTTATCGGAGGGAATTTACTAGAGTTGGTATTTCGATAGTTTACAACTTTTACGTACAGACTTGATAACGTATCATCTGTTCTATGACTAGGAGACGCGAGACCGCATTGCGGACACTATCCCAACAAGTTTGAGTTTGCTCCTCCCTCTTTCCAAAGAGTGAATAAATCTCGACGAGATAAATAACAAGTGCCTGCTAAATACACGATTAGGCTTGTTTAGAAAGTGTGTGCAATGCGGTCTCGCGTCTCCTAGTCGTAGTATGAATGGTAAACAATATAACAGTGCGTATTTATTATGTGGTATTTTCTGAAGCTTCAGTTTTCTTGTTCGCCTTCTTTTTCGATGTAGTGTGTTTATGCTCACCTCTGCTCTCGAAACGTAGTGAGTGTGACCTAACATTTTCCCTGCATGTTTCATCATTTAGATGAGCATAAGAAGACGCGATACATTCAACAGCAATGATACTTCGATCACATCAACAAGTACTTGTCCGCCTCAGAAACCACCGCGTGGCTATCCGAGAAAAGGTCCGGTACGAGTTGAGCCGCTCAAAGATGTAGCAAATGGCAATACACAAGGGCAATCTACCACCTCACCGGGTAAGATTCATGGTGCAGAACGATTTGAGCTTTAAATTGCTTACTCTATGTGCTTTATTACAGCCCCGTCACAATGCCGATTTTCAACGACGCAAAAATACCAGAATATGAAGAATTACTTTCGACGGCAGATAGAAAAATTGCATAGGTAGGCCAGTCTATTTCTAATTCTCAACATTGGTGTAGGAATTTTTCACATTTGATTTCAGAGAAAATGGTGAGTTTTCGGGGTCTGAAGCAGTCAACATACTTGAAGAATATCTCCAAGCAAACCGCGAGCAGTTTTCTGCTCATGTGGTGAAAAGAGAAAACGCAGTAAAGGTAGGAAGAGTTGGTAGAACGCATCAGCAGTTCTTCTTCAAAGATTCTACTTCAACATAATGCCCATCTGGAAGTATTTGGTTCATATATTAGGGTGGTCGGTAAAAAATGGGGCAGCTTAATTTTTATTAAATTTTAAAAATTTTTTTTCGGTCAACAACAAGCAGGCTGCAACGTAAACGTCGCTTATATAAGCGACCTTCGCCTATTATTCTGGCAAAGCGTCAACGCTCCTCTCCCACAACCCTACGCGTGGCGCCCTGAAGAACGCGAACAGGGTTTTTTGAACATCGCTCATTCTTGCGCTGCCATACCGTAAAGTTATAGAGCAATTGATATACCATTCGAAAGAGCTCTTCATGCTCTTTCAAACAATATATCAAATGTACCGGATTTTTTTCTATTTCTGGGTAAAAATAGCGAAATACCTTTAAAAAAATCGCGATTTTTTGGCGCAACAAACACCAGTAAATCAATTTTCAATCTGTATTTTCCGAATACAGATGAAAAGTGAGGTAAGCTACATATAAATGGATAGAGCGTGAAAAGCTCTTTCGGATGTTACCTATAAAAAATGCGTTCACCTGCAAAGAATTGAATAGCACGTATAGTTGTTTTCAAGGCTGTTAACGGCCATATCTCCTGAATTTGAAAGTTGAGGCTAGCAGATCCCATCGTGGATCTGGTGACTGTACTTTCACACATTGCAGTAGTGGTACTTTGGATGGTTTCGCATGTTTCACTGAGCAGATACTGCCCGAAGTTTATATTTGCAAAGTGACTAACTTTGCATTTCAGCCACTAAAAAATTATTAGGGTATGTAAATGACCCTTTTCTTTTTTGAGGAATCTACATTTATTCGCTAGGTCCCCCATTTTTTACCGATCACCCTAATAGCATATCTCAAAAATCCGTTGAGATTCATGATAGGTGGCTGCACACTTATTATGGCTGCTGTTATCTAACTACAGTGACTGGAAGGCAAAAGCAGAGTGCTATATGAAATCAACCTGTTTGTTTTTATCTGTGTCATGATTGCGGGTGTTTTCAAGCAATTATCGATTATACGAGCGAACTTATACTTGAGTAATTTGGACATTTTAGGTACTTGACATGTGGTTGCGCGAGAATATTATAAGTCCATTAAACAGCATACAAAGACCCCCCACCACTTTTTCAAGACAGCAAACGATCTATGTACGTAATGAACCGAGACGAAGATCACAAGTGAGTAGAATCTTGTCAGAATTCGTTTTATTCTTGTTTGTTGCAATATGCATATTTTTGAATTATTGTATGTAAAATCAATTTCATGAAGTATATAGCCTTGTACCAGCGTTTTATAGATGTAATTTTATGGTGACTGCATTTTCCCTTTCATCATTTATATCTACTGTCTTCTTGTTCTTCTGTACCCTTTCTAGTCGCTCTCGTATAAACTGAGCCAAAAGCTGTAGTGTTCGACCTGTATGTATACCTACGCGGAAAAAAAATGGATCATACTCACAACTTTCAATCTCAGGTTGTACATCTGCGCTACTCGCAACTTTTAATCTCAGGTTGTACATCTGCGCATCTCCCATGAACACTAACAGAGAGAGCAGTAGGCGCCCGTCAAGAAGCAGTTCATTCAAGAGGTTCTTCTCTCCTGGTAGATGTGAGTTTTGATTTGCGTATATCAATCATTCAGTTATAGTGCGATTTGTTGCAGCAAAATGTCCCGAAGCAGCGACAAACTCACAGGATGTGGTGGTTTCTCGTTCACCATCGTCGATTAGTGTTGGATGTGATTCAGTGCAAGCCGTTAACTTTGTACCGAATCCAGTACAAAAGTTTGTAACAAATACAGTGCAACAAAAAACACAAAGTCGTCCTTTAGCAGGTGGGCGAGTATTCTTAAATATGCTGTTTGAGTAACTTCAAGGTGCTTTTTTTAAATCGGTGAAGACTCCTAGAGATAGTGCTAAAAAACGACACTAGAAAACCTTGGAAGCACCGTCCACTCAAAATCTCGAATCATTGTTTTTGTCGACTTCAGGCCTTCTGAAAGCCCTGATTCCGAATATGGAGTCGAAAATACGCGAAACCTCCAAGAATCCCTGTTTCGAGAACCCTCTGCAATCAAGTAGGCGGGGCGAATGTTGTCTACTTCCGGAGCGGTTTTCTAGCTCCAGAAGCAGTCTTTTGCGGTGAAGTTTGGGGGTTTGCCTAGTATGGGGGCCCACACTAGTATGCCATCATAATCTCGCCAACCTCCATTCTGGCTGGACGGTGCCTTTGAGATAGCAAACGCTGCAGTTTTTTCTAGATGTAGGTGATCTTCATTTTACTCCAGAGGAAGTTCGGTTGCATGACGCCGCTCTCTTTCGACTTCTTACCATAGTTGATGTCCCTATGCTTGATGACGTAACAAGTCTTCCCGGGCATGAGTCGGTGTGTTGACTGTATAACGTTTCTCTTAACAGTATAAAACAATTTGAAATATCTCTTGCAGAAAAGTGTCTCAATTCTATCCTCAATACTCTCAAAAATGGGCTTCAGCGCCGTCTCTGCTGCAGTCCTGCACTTCAAAGATGAAGAAGAAATGGATGATCTTTTGCACAACACCCCAGCGATTAAGTACTGATGAGCTTTCTGCTCTTTGATTTCAAAAATCATTGGCACTTTGTAGACCGATAGTGCCGTGGTTCCAAATGGCTCGCATCTGCGCACCCACGCTTCATTTCAAATCTAGTGGAAGTGCAAAACCTAGCAAGACGGAAGTTCACAACTGGGCTAAACAATCACTTCAAGCGGTAAGATCCTTTCAACTAAAAATGCCCTATTATTTTTGAAAACTACTTAGTTTTGACTGATAAGAAAGTTCTAGACATTTTTGCGGTCTGTTATTCCTCAGAATATAATCCATGCATCGTGCAGTTCTCCAGTTGTAGGCTTTTGGGGGCGAAGTTTGTTGATCATATCGTTTTACTTGCTACTCAAGTCAAATTGCGCACAGCCTGTGCATGCGGTCATGTATGTAAGTATGTGTCTACTATCTATTGACCATGTGGGAGTGGTAACGTTTATGAAAGCTGAAGATTTGGGTTAGGTCGAAACCCCTCATAATCTCGAATTTGCGCCTGTATTCTTCATAAAAAGCTTCAATTGCGCTCGCTCTTACCGTAATCTTGTAGGCTATAAGGGTGCGATATGTCGGTGCTCTGATCTCACATATCTTTTGTTTAGGTTTCTAGTCGCTATTCCTCAATTCCTGTATTCTTCATAAGGCACCCGCCATACTTGATCCTCTTGATCCGCTTAATCCACTTGATCCGCTTAATCCGCTTGATCCGCTTGATCCGCTTCGTGCAAAACGCGCGCACTCAGCAGTCGTCATTTGGCGCCGCGTACAGCGAATTTGCTTGACCATACGAAACTTCTTTTTACCTACGCGGCGCCAAATGACAGACTGCTATGTGCGCGCGTTTTGCACGCGTCCTGCAAGAAGCGGAGCAAGCGGATCAAGCGGATCAAGAGGGGTAAGTATGGCGGGTGCCTAAAAAGCTTCAATTGCGCTCGCTCTTACCGTAATCTTGTAGGCTATAAGGCTGCGATATGTCGGTGCTCTGATCTCACATATCTTTTGTTTAGGTTTCTAGTCGCTGTTCCTCAATCACGCACCGTGGCTCATCCCCGCTGATTCCAACCGAATTCACCTCCATCCTGGGGGCTATCGTTAATCAATTACTCGGCAAGAAGGGCAAAAAGACCAAACTGGCTTTGCAGTGAGTCTCCTGCAACTTTCCGCTAACTGAATTGGTGCATGTGTTTCTGCAGATATCTCTGCCTCATGATCCCCCAACAAGTACGTTCCCATCTTGTTAATGTCGTGCACTTCCTCCTTCGCACGATAGGAACTGACGAATACATGTCTATTAGGAGCCCTTTCTATCTGGGAAAAAAGGTGAGTCTGAATTTGATGTATTGTAATCATCAGCTACGAAGTTTTACATGTCATCAAATTGTCTGATATGATTCACACACATGATCCCAACTGGTACTGACGATTTCCTTTGATTCTCTTTATTTTTTTTTCAATTTTTGGCTAATTTCATGTGATGTCTAGAGCTGCATAAGGATTGGAAGCTGATACTAATCCAAGTTTATTCTGTCAAATGCTTGGGAAGATAGAATCTAGCTTGATGGGAAAAGGCGCTGTTGCACTAATGAAATCCATGAGTATCGTGACTTGGCCGGGTTCCATATGTTTGTCTAGGCGACCTTTTGTAATTTAGTCAAGAGTCTTTTTTACTGAATACAATCTATCTACGCGTGCAAAAACCCACAACTTCTTCCAAGAAAACATTTGGCATATGGGGGTAATAGGTTTGAGATGAGCTTTCCAAACGCCCCCTTCAGCGGTATACATCACACCTCTGACGGCACAGCAGTAGCCCTCCCTTGCTTATATGCCATCATGCCTTATATGGCAGTCAATCTTGCTTTTGAAGCATTTTTTTCAGGGTGACAATGAGAACTTTGAAGTCGTTCTGAATGAACTTCGCCCCTTCATCTTTCCGCAAAGTATAGAAATACCGGATCAAAACAGCATTGTCGAGGTTGGTGTCTCAAGTCTTGTCTGATGTCTCTCAGCAAGATCTCTTTGCAGGTTTTGATGCAGTTGCAAAAAGAAGGATCACTAGGAAAAGAGACGCCAGAATTGACATCTGACCTGCAAAATATGAGGTATGTAGCTCACACTGAGTAGGATTCTAAATAATCTTTCTGTATGTAGTTGTAGAGCGAATGCAGATAAAGCAACAGTTCCGATTCGATACTGTGAAGCTGAATCGTCTGTGAAAGGATTTGACGTTGACGCTGAGTTAGCTCGTGCTCTGACTGCTATCATAGACGATCCTCGATAACTTTAGCTGAAAAACAGAAGAAATGTGAGCTTTTCAAGCAGCATCATCCAAAGATGTACAGGAGATACTTTGCTCATCTTTCATGGTAACTTGTGCTTCTAACGATTTCGTATGCATGACCTATCGCTCATATTCTTTTTTTCTTTGAATAGCATTAATTCAGATAATTATGGTCTACTCAGATTTAATTTTTGTTAGCATAAATTCATGATACTTAACCGTAGCCATTTACATAAATATGATGCATTATCGCCATCTTAAACGTGATTCACGTTGTTTCCTTCTTGTGCATCATTCTAATCGCATAATCTTCTAGGTCAAGATTTTCTTGCTATTTTTACTGATTCAAAAGCTTGTAATATTCCTAGAACAGCGAATTGAGTTAGAATCTGATTATATAGAATATATGCCGATGATGATCTCTCAAGTCTGCAGTGCTTACTCAGGGGTCACATCAGATGACGCTTGCTATCCTCTATTGAAACTTGCTGATTGATAGGTATAGACTAATAAATAAATGATTGCCCTGGGTGTATCAGAAGTAAGAGAAGCTTCGCTTTAACCTTCAGTGAAGAGGAAAGTGCCATGGCTTTTATGGTCGAGGAGGACTCCGACCACTGCGGTGTGCCGCAGCGTTCATAACTCGTTTGGCCTACGGCATAGTGGTCACGATTCCGTCGCGCTGCGGTTTCTGTGGAACGACGACCGTCACGCATTGATTGCATGCCCTCGTGTCTGCTACGGCGGCTGTGGTAGTCGTCCGGCGCGACGGATCGCAGACCCTCAGACATTCGCGGTTGTCACCCGCAGGTTAAAATGGTTTGATCTCATTGACCAACGGCGCGTCACACGAAATCGGTGTCGGGGCAAAATCAGGTCACCTGTGTTTGCAGCGGGGTGACCTGCGGGAGACACCATAATGCCCCGACAGGGCATTCTCCGGTCATTATCAGAGTGACCTGCGGGAGACACCATAATGCCCCGATCCTTAAAGCAGCGGTTCACCCTGATGGGTACATATATAGTGGTATATATATATTAACATTAAGTATATAGTGGAACACACAAGTATAGAGTACATACTCTATACTAGTGTGTTTCACGTCTACCGCGCTGTCATCTTTCACTGTCCCTAACAAATCAAGCCATAGTATTTATTAAAAACTTCATGGTACAGAAAAATCTACATCAGCGCAAAATCAAATAAACTACATCGAGAGAACACTTGACAAAAAACAACTGGAATTGGACTAATGTGTGTCGTTCGCATCGGTTACTGCAATGTCGGCGTCCGTTTTTTCGATGATGTTCAAGTCAGTGCTCACGTTAGTGTCCTGGGCCGGTTCTTCTGAAAAACATCAGTATCAGATGCGTAAACTTTTTGAGACGAAAGTTTTACCTTTGACGCCTTTGTCGCATTCTTGTGCAAATTGTAGAAGTTCTTTGTCCAGTAGGCCAAAAGCGTCCAATACAAACCCTGAATAAATTATTCGAATTTATGTACAAAATGACGGAACAACCTACTTATTAGGAAATCCACAGTGCTTTCCGGGAGATCCTTGAATGGTCATTTTTTTTTCTTTTTTGCCAGTTTGCCTACATGCATACTTTTGAGTTCCTCTGCCGGTTCACAAGTCCAAAAAATTATGTGTAAGGCAAGAATTCGTTCAGCAGTGATCCCTTGCATTGACAAAATAGTGCCTAAGAAAATCAAAAACATGATGAAAATGCAGAAAATGATCATGTTTATGTGGAGGGCGTGCAGCAGTTCCTAGCACCTCTTCTCGCACCAACTTCGCACCAGCATTCGCACCCAGGAGGGTTCTAGCACCTCCGCGCCTCAGAGGTCAGGACCCGCCCATTGCTCCTCCCATTTACTGGTCTCATTGTAAGGCGTGCAAGCAGCGAGAACATGGATTCAGGTATTAAGGTAATAAGAGAAAATAATGGAGAAAAACGGAACATAGTTATCATCTTTTAAGTGAGGCGGCTTGGAAACTTCTGCTATGCCATTTTTTTAGAAAAAGGGCATATGAACATTACTTTGAGAAGAGCAAAGAGTAGCAAAGAGTTTTTTGAATTGGAAACCTGGTCATTCGAAATATTAGAGGATCTAGTCGATCAATTGTGCATTACTGGTCATCTGATTGAAGTAATTTAGCATCAGGAGTTCGAGAACTCAATTCCTTCTCAACAATAGAAGGACCTATTTCGAAAGAAGTATAACAAAGGTTCCGAACAAACACTTAACGTTTTATCCAACAATAGGATATCTGAACACATACTTTTTTATTGTCTGCCATCATCTACCATTATATTCGAATGAGATTTTCATTTCATTCTAATGATAGTAAGGCCCAAATTATCATAAAGAAATTTTCAAGCGTAGTATTTCAATCGATGTACTAGAATATCAAACTTCGTCGCGTGAACGAAGAATTGACTGAGAGCTCCAAATACCAACACTAATTTGCAAGATATGGTAATTCGCTATATTCTTAGATGATTTCAGAACTTGCATAAAATGAATTAACTTCTCTGTTATATACCATGATTGGAATACTCATAACTTCTGTTTAATTTTGTATTAGTGCGATATGTCTCACAAACTTACTCAAGCGCGAGCACTTAAAAGTTTTTAATGAAGCCTCAGTCTATTCGAAAACATGAGTAAAACATAACTTGGAATGCTGAAATTCAGCTGCAGTCGTATATGGATTCTAAACCTTTAGAACCTAGAAATTTTTTTCTCTCGCCAGTTCTATTATCCTCATCATATACATTGAAGCATGTCTTACAGTGCGTGTACACAATTTAGAATGAGGGCGCCTAGAGGGAGGAGTGATGGGCGGAGCCGCCCTTTGGCCCCGAGAAGGTGTGATGTCCTTCAAGGGATTTTTGGAGGTGCCAAGCAACCCTGCGAGGAAAAGCGGCTAGGCTTTGGGAACTCCTGCCACGCCGCCTGTTCATGTGCGCAAGCCGATCTCTTCCGTTTTAAGATTTCAGTCAAATGCAGCTCCTAAAAATACGATGCCTTTCGTTAATTCATTTCATATTCAAAAACCTCAATCGGGCTGGGTTTCAAAAAGCAGACTTTCTTTTTTTCGGTTATACAGTTATACAGTTTTCGGTTATTGTTCGAACTTCATCAGGTTCGATGCGCTTTTGGGTGGTTCATATCACATCTCATTTTATTTTATATATATTTATTATACAGGGTTTGCACATATACACAGTACGCAATATACACACATTACTATTCCCTTTCCCTTTCCTTCCTGCTACCTGGCTTTGCCTCTAGGGGACGTGTTACATACAGGCGGAGTGGCCGGGAGGAGTTGTCGAGCTCTTTTGCTCTTCCTTTAAATATGCTTCTGCTATACCAAAACATAGATCCAGCGATAACAGTGAAATGTTATGGGAACAAACCATAAGATCAGATAATGTTGTGAGAAATCATGATTCGTCAGAGTCATGACACTCCCGCCAAAAACGAAAAAATTTCATTGCCTCATTTTTTTCCGATAGCGTACGAATTACCGGAAAGTAATGACAAAGAATATATACACTATACACTATAAACAACGAATATATACAAACACGTTACCAAAGAGTGACAAGAAATTTAAATACAATCAAGTGAAAATAAGATGACAAACAAATATTTACAAATACATACGTCAGTATCTGAGTGATACTGATGGTCGGTTGTCTATCCTTCTCTTCTCAAGGCTCGTCGGAGATGTAAGAAACTTGTGTTTCGATTGATATCGTCGGTGGACGGCTCCTTGTTGTTGTTGATGTGTTCGTTTTGTTTACATCTTACCTCTTTCTAAAGTTTCTTTTACTCGTTTATCTAGGTTTTTACTTCATTTCGTTTCATTTCCTTCACATTTAAGTTTTCCCTTTCTTTCAAATGTTTATTTCTATATCTTTCTTTTGTTTCCTTTTCTGTTTCTGTTTTTTTTCTTTATTTTTTTGTCTTTTTCCGTTCCGCTGCTATGTGATTTTCCATTATTTACTTGTTGAAAAGTTGTTTCCTCCCAACTTTTTTTTGTTCATCTGAGCGATAATATTGTATTTATAATAATTTTTATTTAAGATATTATGATAATTGACAATATATATAATTTCCTCACAGTAATAAATTTCAACAACAAATGTTGTAGCAAGACACAATCATATGTTACAATATTGCCTCACAATTATTTCCTCAATTAGGAAAGATCCATGGAATTTTTTACCGATCTAATAATTTCCGATTGCTCGTTGAAATTACAGATTCTAATTTCATTATATATTTACAAGAATACAACATACAATCCAATTTTGCAATTATGTTTTACCCGTTGTCTGTTTTGTTGAGAAAATTATAAAGATTTGTAAATATCATAGCTTGATTTACCTTTATAATTTTTACACGTTGAAACCTTTCAAGGTCTTGATTACCAGTATTTCTGCTAATCGGTAATACCTATCTCTGAATGTTGTATATCTTACGCATTGCGGTGACCAATGTTTCCCTGAACAAAGCTTGCATTTTGGGTTGCTTGGGTCTCCTTGAAGGTTAATTACCGAGTTTCGAGTTCCTTCTTGGTGCTGCTGCCATCTTCTTTCCCAAGAGCTTGCCAGCTCGTGTATGTCTTCCTGAGACGGAAAGTGATTATTGTTGGTTTTATCAGGTTTCAAATTTACTAACCCTTAACGCAAGAAGTAGATTTTCCAATTTTGCTAGCCCTAATGGGATTTTCGCAATTGGGTCCGATGAGGCTGGCGGAGGCCTTTCCATACAATATGTGAGTTCCCTTGCTGATTGTTGTTTTTCTTGTTCTTGCTCTTGCCTTCCGTGTCGTTGATTTTCTTCTGTTTCCTCCTCTTCCCTTGAATCATGTCGTGGTGATGCGCTTTCTTCAGTCATAGCACTCTGTAACATTTTTTCTTTATTTTGAGTACCAGACGTAAGTTGACTGAGTAAAGACATGAAAAATTAAAAGGATTTGGAGTTGAAGATTTGAAGACCGCGCATACTGGCGGAACGAAGCTTATGGCTTGGTTTCTCAAGCTGGTGTTTTCTTTCCATTGTATTTTCTCGTACTTCGCGAGCACTTGCTTGGAGAGATCGTGCCGATAACGAAATGTTAGCCTTAAAGGCTGTGCCGGCATAGAGCGGAAGTACAGTGGAACGTGAAATGTTGATCAACGTTCAATGCGCTGCCCTTTGTTTTCAGGGCCTTTCCTTTTTTGTTTAGATTTACTTTTATTTGCAAAGTTTGATTGTAATAGGTATAATTTGCAAATCCCTATCTTGCTTGTTGCGATTTCGTGTTTAATGTATTGCATTTTCCTCCCACGATGCTGTTTTTTTTTGTTTTCGTTGCGTTTACGTGCATGTACATCAGCATATGTCGCTATAATGACGGCATACTTTGTGCTAGATCAGCTGTTGACATGAATTGCGCATGGTTTGTTTTCCCTGTGTTCAATTTTGCGCTGGTCGATTGACCATATGTGTTCCCTTTCTCTCATTTTCCGTGTGTTAATGTTGTTGCTTGTGTCTGTTTTGTTCTCTGCAAAGGTTCTGCTATTTTTTTCATTTTTTCCCATATTTTAGTTAAATGAGCATGTTCAGTAAGTATTCTCTTTCTGGTCTTTCTATTTTCCAGTTTATCGACTTTGAATGGTTGCCATCTGTGAGAAACCGCTTTGGAATGTTCGAAATTGTCTGGGCATACTCTTTTCAAACGGTAGTTTCTGAGAATTTGAGGCAATGTTCGTTGTTTTTCCAAGAATTTCCTGAATGCTTCTCTATTTTCGCCGAAGCTGCAGCCTTTGAGTCTGTTATATTTCTATGCATTTAAGCTTTCGCGCTTTTATACTCATTGCGAATTGCTTTTGTAGCCTGTAAGGGTTGTATGAAGATTGTAGTTTCGTTGTTACTGAACAGTTTCTCCGTTTTCTGTTAAAGTTTTGAATCTTACATTGTTGTTATTGTTGATTTCTTCTTGCCGTAAGTCGTCGCCTTGCATTAATTGATTGCTTTGCGCTTTAATTGTTTACGGTTTCCAAATGCACTGCTCTCGTTGTCATACATGTTACCGAAACGACCCATTTGACTTCTTTATTTTCAGTGAGTGTTCGGAATGGCCCCGCCAAATCGATGCCCACATATTGAAAGGGTCGGCAAGGATCCGTACGTTGTTGAGGCAAAGGACGGGAACTTGGATATAAGTAAGGTCTTCCATTCCATCTTTTACATATTACACAATTTCAGCAATTTTTTACCACTTGACGCCCGTGCGGTATTCAACCTTGAGCGTAAATTTGCTGTCAACGATATTTTGGATCGAGAAGAATTGGTTTTTCTGTGTATCTTGACCAGTAATCAGTTTTTACTTTGCCATTGCAACGCAAGATCCCTTTATAAGAATTTTCTAGCCTTTGATATTTACAGTCATCTTTGTTAATTTGCCTATGAATGAGTTTGATGATCGCTTCTTCAGCAATCTTCAAATCGCCATTATTCCATTGAAGAGATGCTTATTGTGTACTAGTGGCGGCCATTCCAGGTATTGCATTTCCTAAATTTTTTTTTGATTTAAGTTTATCGTATACAATAATCTTGAGCGCTTTGATTACCAATGATAGTATTTTTGCATTTCGCAAGATTTAAATAGTGCTCAAGGCGGGTATATGATTGTTCCCTTATCGTGCTGAGCTGTTTCATGATTAGCTTTTTATTATCAGAATTGGATTTTCCTCCGCTTCTCCGTTTTGCCAGTTGACACTTTCCAGTGTGGGCCGTTTTATTGTTTTCCTTTTTCAAAAAATTCCGGTCCATTCCACAAGGTGTAGTTGCTCATTTGGCTTTCAGAAGTCCTTTAGTGGCTCAATTTTCTGGGTTATCAGCCGTTGGTATGTATCGAAGAGTATTTGCTTACGGTTTTGAAGTCATGTTCCGTGATTTTCCTTATATTTCTTATTCTCTTTTCCACAAAAACTCCATTGTTATCTTGTGATTGCAGCCAATGTAGGGCGCATTTAGAGTCCCTGTAAATGCTTCGGTCTCAATTTTTACAGACATTTCTTTCAAACGAAATCCGTTGCCCGAACTCCTTTGAGTATTGCGAGAAGTTCAAGTCTTGAGATTGTTAGTGATTTATTTTTGATAGGAGTTAAGTGTTGCCTTGCCATAAGCAGTTTGTTTTCGATGTTTTCCTTTTGGCTCAGCGAGCGTAAGTAAACAACTGCTGCATATGCTTTGAGAGATACGTCTGGAGTTTGTATTGATAGCTTGCTTGACACGCTGCGATCACGCGAGGGATTGTTGCCACAAATTCCGCCGCGCTCTCGCATATTGTTTTCCATTGCTATCTTCTTTAGGGGTCAGCAAGTTGTCCCACGCGCGTTTATGCTTTCAAAGAATTTGCAGAAACACTTATGCTGGCATCAACAGTGGTATGAGGTAACCTAGGTAACCTAGGTCATAAGTTGCATTCGAAATTTCTAATATTTTCCTTTTGGTATATTTTTTGATCCATGTTTTGGGTTTTTCATTTCTAATGATGTTACCCTTTTGAGTTTATTTCTTTCTATTACTGGCAAGGATTTATTTTAGAATTTCATTGTCACCTAAAGGTCTCAAGGGACCAAATTTTGTTCGGTTATTTTTTCTCGTCTTGTTCCTGAGGTCAACATAGGGTACATTCATACCGTGAATGCTTGCTGTCGCGAAATTTGCAAAGTTTTCCTTCAAGGCGAAATTGTTGAGTATTGCAAGTAATTCAGGTTGTGAAGTTGCTAACTTGCTGAGTGAAACCTTAATCTTTGTTTTGCTATGAATGCGTTTTTCTCATTGGGTTTGCGGAACCACTTTTTTGCTGGGTCAATAGTGGTTTAAGATAATATAGAGTGGCATGGTTTGGTGTGTAATTTGTTGCACTTTGCTTTCCAGATTCTTAGCGATTACCGTAATTAACATTGCTTGCTAAATTATATTGGGATTCTTCAGATAGCAAGATTTTCGCTATGCTTGCTTAAAAATCTTTTTTCCGTATGGCGATAACGCGGTTTGCGTGGAGGTAATCATGCATTTTCCTTTGATATTTTTTTTGTTTGGATAGTCTATTTGATAAACATACTCAAAAGAAAAAGGAGCATTTATGCGAAGGGGTGGTCTGCAAAATTGTAGAATTCTTACATTTCTATTGACCAGTGGTTGCGAAGTGATTTATCATAAAAACGTTACCGAGTTTTTTTTCAGTTTCCTGCAGATGAGTCATATGAAGTGCCCTTTTCCATCTTTTTTTTATTGCCATTGCATGAACATATTAATTGATTGTACATACCTTCAGCTTCAGATTCCACTACATTGGATACTTCCGAGATGATTAGTCCAAAGAAGATTTGCATGGCGAATAGTCTGGATGGCAATTGAGTAGCAGGTATGTTGAGTTGGATCACGTAACTAAAGTAGTCTATCCCTTTAAGAATTTCCGAGTCAACATTTCCTTGTAAAATCTTTCAATTTTTCTGGAGACATTGTTTCCAACGCTTTTCTGTCCAGATAGGATAGTCTTTCCAAATTTAGATTTGTAGTCATAGTACTATGTGTGCCATTTTCTGTGAGGATGTTCTCAACCTCAACTGGGACAGCACCTGGGATAATGGGTTTTGTAACCCCTTACCGTCCCTTGACACTTTCTTTTCCAAACTATAAGTTTCCGAGCAATGAATTTGCCATGGAAGGAAGCTTGAAACAGGAATTGCTTCTTGTTTTTATTTGGTCTTTGAGCGTTTCTTTCGCGCTTTCGCTTTCGCAGCGCTTTTCTAGCTTCTTGGCGCTTAGCTCACTAGACGTCAATTGGTTGTGAATAGACAGTTGTTTTCAATCAGAACTTTCTCTCTTTTCCTAATGTCTTTCAAAATTGCCTTTGAAGCTTTACATCTTTCTGATTTTTCCTCCAGCTTGACTATGTTTATTTGTTGTATGAAATTTCAAATGAGTTCCTTTGCATAAACATTGAGCTATGCAGTTGCCGGTAAATTCATTTCTATTTAACTTCTTCATCTTTGACAACTCGAGTTGACTTTACCTTGTTATTTTTAGGCTCGATGGCTCACGGAGAGAACGGAGGAATAGCATTCAAGGATGATGAAGTGGTCTGGGGCGCCCCTCTTTTGCATAGTTCCCTGATCAATGCTTTTATCATTTCCCATTTCGTGGGAAATCTCTGTTTATCACGGTTGTTTCCGTGCTTTATCGCAGTTTGATGTGAGATGTGATAAAGTTCTTTTTTTTTCAAGAACTGTTTTATTTCCCTTCGGCTTGCAGGCTTTCTTATTCTCTCCAAATTTTGGGAACTATACCTTTTCATTACCATCGTCAATTTTTCTTTATGCCTGCAACGTTTTTTGAGCTAGCTCACTTATTCAATTTATTATTCATCCTCATTTCCGCGGGACACACATTTTACCGAAGGGAGTCCATTTATATTATCTTCAAGTATGGGGGGAACGTTCCTTCTCAAGTCAAGGAAAGCCGCTGGGCATGACTTTAAAATTGCGGACTCTGGCGGGCCCTATCAGAGCCGCTTTGCCACATTTTGCGGTTTCCTTGCCTATTTCAGCCGTTCAACGGCTAGTCTTTTTCGGCCTTTACCAGTTCGGCCGATGCACCATGTTCGAACTTCATCAGGTTCGATGCGCTTTTGGGTGGTTCATATCACATCTCATTTTATTTTATATATATTTATTATACAGGGTTTGCACATATACACAGTACGCAATATACACACATTACTATTCCCTTTCCCTTTCCTTCCTGCTACCTGGCTTTGCCTCTAGGGGACGTGTTACATACAGACGGAGTGGCCGGGAGGAGTTGTCGAGCTCTTTTGCTCTTCCTTTAAATATGCTTCT